GTCTAAGGCACCTGCCTACTTCGTGTCTAGCTGGGTTTTCCTGACAGTTTTCTTGTGGCCCTCCAGCGTCGAAGCTACGCCAAGATCAAGACCAGACACATTTTTATAGCTGGGAGAGCTACCATTCACTGAGCAGGAATTCCGCTCTCTGAGGTACTAATCGTTCTCATATTACTCAGATATGGGCAAGGTAAGTGGAGTGTCCAAGTCACAAAGCAAGCAGGAGATGGAGTGAGCCTTCACACCTATGTGGTTTGACAACAGGTTAAGTCTGCCTTCCTAACGACTGTTCTGCCCTGCCGTCATGCCAGTCCTCGGCTTTAAAGAAACCTCAGCGGTCACTTGTGTCTACCAACACATGTCTAAGGGGAGCCCTCGTAGCATAGTGGTTACCACTTGGGCTGATAACTGTAAGGTCAGCACTTTGAAACCAGCAGCCACTCATAGGAGAAAGGTGGGGCTATCTACTCTCGTGAAAACAGTTACTGGTCTCGGAAACTCACCAGGGCAGTTGTACCCTGTCCTATAGGGTGGTTATGGGTCAGCATTTACTCAATAGCAGTGAGTGAGAGTGGGTGAGAACACGTGTCTAAACTCCTCCTGTGAACTCATGGAGCCCTGCATGGTGTTGCACCATTCTGCCTCTCCCACCACACTCACCACATTGCCCTCATGCACCAAGCACGGCAGCCCCTGCCCGTTCCGTGCTCATTTTCCTTTCCGTGGTCTTGCTGGAATTCTGCCTCGCTCCTTGAATCACGGTTGTCTTCCCTTTCCCCTTCTTTCTTCCAGCCCAGCCCATAGTCAGAGTCCACCTCTCCCTTTCTCCAGAGAACATTCTCTGAGGACTCCACGCCTTGTCCCTCTTCCCGCTCTCTGAACATCACAGTCTTCCCCATACGCAGCCCCAAGGCCCACCAAACTCGGATCCCGCTTGTAGATGGATTTGCTCTGCAATTGCCTCAGCGGTCCTCCCCGTACTCGAAGCGTGATGCTGCTGGAGAGGGTCTTTCACTATGCGTGAAAAATGTCACCAGTGGAGTCTGCTGGGCCACAGAGCCACCAACATGATGACAGTGGAAAACAGTCCTGGCTAAAAGTCTGTCACAAAAACCATCACCACGAGAATTTTTTCTGTTATGAATGAGTCCAACGACCCTCTCACAGGGTCGTCCGATTCATAACAGTAGCAACATGTCAGTGATGAAGTAACAACGAAAACAGTTTCACGGTGGGGGTCACCACCACATGAGGAACTAACTGTATGAAAGGGTGGTGGCATTAGGCAGGTTGAGAACCACTGCCTTAGGGTTTCAAAAGGATAGATTAGTCCAGGTAAACCTAACACTCAAACCAACCAACCTCACTGCCAGCAAGTAGAACTGCCCCTGGTTTCCAGGACTGTAACTCTCTGGGCCTAGCAAGCCTCAGCTTTCTTTGTGGTGCAGCTGGGTGGATTAGAACCGCAGACCCTGTGCATCCCAGCCCAGGGCGTAATCGAACAAGCTGGTAGCTTTCTGGTTGTTGCCGTCGTCACTGTTAACCATTGTTAAAATAGAGTGAGCATTTATGATATGCCAGGATTTGTGCGAAGCACTCTACGTGCACGGTTTCACCCAGTTTTCACAACAACCCTTTGAGGCTGGAAGTTTTAAGTGGAACGTACCATTCTACAGATGAGGACGCTGAGGGTCGCAGAAGTCACGTTGTCCAAGGGCAGTCGCAGGGTTTGAACCCAAGACTGCTGACTCGACGCCACATTTAAAAAAAGGCAACCCTCTGCCCCCAAATATACTCCTCGATTTCTTCTCCTGCTTTAACTTTCCCTTCCCATCACCTGGCAAAGCTGTCGGGATCGCGGGTCTGCTTCTGTCTCCGAGGAGAAAGAAGCAGCGAGAGGGGCCTGTTTGGCTCTGTCTGCACACAGCCAGCGGTGCAGAGCTAACGCACTGGCAGGAAGGTGTGAATGAAGAAAGTTTTAAGGAACATTGTAAGTGGGTTTTAGAAAACAACTACAAGAAAAAAATATAAATGTACTACTTTGCATCAAAATCACTCTCTGGGATTGAGCTAGTTCTGTGGATTACCCTAGAGGTGGAGTGGCGTCTTCAGTGGCGGCTGCTCCATCAAACAATTTTTTATACAGATTGATTCGTAGACGCATTCATCCATTTCCAACACGTTTATTCCAACTCATAGGGACCCACCCTACAGAGCAGAGCTCCCCCGACAGCTTCCAAGGCTGTTTTCTTTACAGACACAGATTGCCATATCTTTCTCCTGCAGAGTGGCTGGTGGGGACTGAACTGGCAATCTTTTGAACTAGATTAACACCACCGTGCCACCAAGCCTCCCTGTACATGCATTAGGGCTGATGAAATATGAAAGTGGAAAAGTTCATTGCTATGGGTGTTTGGGACCCTTCTGAAAACAAGTGGGGACATAGCCCACTACATTTTGCCAGTGACTAAGCTGAGATTGGGCAGCTACTTAGATAACTAAATAGGGACCTGGGGTCCGAGTGGGTTACATGTTGGGCTGCTAATCACAAGGTTGGCAGTTCTAACCCAACAGCTATTCCTTAGGGTAAAAATGAGGCTATTTGCTCCCATAAAGATTCACAGCCTCAAAAGCCATGCGGAGCAGTTCGATCCCGTCCCACAGGGTCACTCTGAGCGGGATGGACTGGGTAACCCTGGGTCGCGTGGGTTTGGTAAATGCAATGACAACTAGGACGATGTACTGGAAGATTAGAAAGAGTGCTGCTCTGGCAGGCTTCTTAGAATCAAGAGACGCATTGTAAAAATCCTCTATTTTAAATGCTGCTTCTTCAGTGCATAATGGATAACATGGATTTATGAGACATCAGAGAAAGATTCTATACTGAAGAGACTTTGGATGGTTATGAAATGAATAATAAAAAATAGAAATCATGCAATTATATTTTATTAAATACCGTATATACTCGAGTATAAGCCGACCAGAAATTTTCAAACTAACATTTTCAAAATTTTAAAAATTTCGGGTTAGCTTATACTCGAGTATACAGTAAGTGAAACTCGTAACACGGTTAACACATTTTTTATTTCTACTACATAACTATATTTATGGCAAAAAATACATAACTAAGTAAAATTATTGTTTGCCACTAACTTGGATATTGGCAGAATATTTAAATGCCAGAAAGGGGTACAGCCCTGTGTCACTGGCACCCTTATCTTCATTTCATCACTTACCTTGTCATCGGGAAGCACATGCCAAATAGATATTGTCTTTTCCTCGACTTCATTGTTGATAGACAAGTAAGAAGGCTGGTAGATCTTGGTTGGCTCTAATATTAACACCTTGAAACATAAAGACAAGAGACAAATATTAGTGGCTTAGGAGTTAAACCACCAGGAGCTGCTACAAGACCCACATCACCTGTGGGAGGTTCTTCAGGCAGAGCCAGAGCGAAACCCACTGCCGTCTGGGCTGTCTTTCCCAGGTGCTCCTCACGCATTTTATGGTAGTGCATGATGACCACAAAGCACATTTATCACCTTTGACTGAGACAGAGATCGATCAGAATGCTTTGTAATCTACAGGTTGGTTTGACTGTCTACCAAGGGTGCCCTTCTAAAAGTTTACTCTTGTATCAGGTAAAACAGACTGCTTCTATAAATATAAATGTGTCCGTGAAAGGAAGACATGATAAAACCAGTAATTCTGTGCACAAAAAAAGACAAGACTTCATCTGTAGGTTCTCACATACTTATTTTAACTTTTTGGATCTCATATTCCAAAACAATCAATTCTGACTCACAGTGACCCTACTGGGGTAGGTCTGCCCCTGTGAGCTTTCAAGACTGTTAACTCTTTATGGGAGTAGAAAGGCTCATCTTTCTCCCAAGGAGCAGCTGGTGGTTTTGAACTGCTGACTTTGTGGTTAGCAGCCCACTCTATAATCCAGGGCACAGCTATCATACTTCGTCTTAAAGATGCAGTAGTATAGTCATATCCACGTAAATGGACTTGGAGATGGTTTCTGGCTATTACTGAAAGAGCCTTATAAATAAACCAAAGAAATGAATATGAGGCAGCAAATGTGTTTCTGTGCTATCTCCAAAATAAAATTGGTGTCTTCAACGATGATATATTTAGCTGCACGAAAGGAAAAGAGAAATTAAAGTGTGTGCCTATTTTAGCTGTGTGAAGGGTATATGATAAGTGAGTTGAAAATCTTCATCAAAAGTTTACATAATGTATTGTATTATTACTAACATTTCATATTAGGAATAAATAACACTGGAGACAGTGGGGGATGGCGAGGAGCAACAGTGGAGGCAGCAAAGACATGAACAGTACAGTGGGCTTCCTGAGTCACGGAGCAAGAAAGCTCTGTGACCTGGGGCAGGAGGCACCCCGAAGAGTGGCCCTCTCCCAGCACTCCCTAGTGGAGCTGAAGAGCTTTGTAGCACCTGCCCCAGCAGGACACAGACTGCGGGGTTCCCAGGTTGAAAGGCCAAGGACCAGAAAAAGGCATGCCTATGGGTACGGCTGAGTTGTCCTGACTGAAGAACTGTACCCTGAGTGGTTTCTGATCCTGAATTGCAGTGTTACTTCCTAAATGATGCCCATGATCCTGAGTGCTCTTTGTGAATTGTGTGGCCGTAGCAATGAGTTATCGATGCCACCAGAGAAGGAGAGAGAGCAGGGGGGGTGGCTGCTGTCAGATCGGTGCAGTTGGTGGTGGGTTGGGTCATGCATGGTGCGTGCCTCACAGGAATCAGCTTTGGGCTGATGGTGATTCTCTCTCCCCCTCCTGAAGCGAGGGGAGGTCAGACACCACGGCCACGCCATTTTACATGGAGTTGTCATTGCTGAACTTTTTTTAAAAAGATCGTTTTATTGGGGGCTCTTACAGCTCTGACAGCAATCCATACATCCATTGTGTCAAGCACATTTGTACATAGGTTGCCATCATTGTTTTAAAAACATTTTCTTTCTATTTGAGCCCTTGGTTTCAGCTCCTCCCCCCCCGCCCCTCCCCCACCCTGTTGAACATTTTTGAGCCCTTTGATCTGCCCGGGACATGACAGAAAATGGAAGGATTTCTAGCAAACGTGACAGAGATACAGAGAGGCTAGGGAAAAGAAAGCAAGAGGAGGCAATCTGACAAAACCATACAGCTAGATAGAGCGCATGGAGGAATCTCCGTATTGTCTTGCTTTCAATTCCTACTCTTTCCCAATGGTCAGTATCGCAATGAACTGCTAACGTGGGGTGTCGGTAGCAGGAAGGACGAGAGCAAGGCCTATGGAGAGGAGACACAAACCGGGGTTTCATGTGTAAGCGTCTACAATGAGTTCAAGACTTTATCAAAGCCAAAACGCCAAACTCACTGCCACTGGGTTGATGCTGACACACAGCGACCCTACAGGCCAGTGGTTCTCAACCTGTGGGTCGCGACCCCTTTGGGGGGTCGAACGACCCTTTCACAGGGGTCACCCGATTCATAACAGTAGCAACACTACAGTTATGAAGTAGCAACAACAATAATTTTATGGTTGGGGGTCACCACAACATGAGGCACTGTATGAAAGGGTTGTAGCATTAGGAAGGTCGAGAACCACTGCTATAGGACAAGGTAGAATTGCCCCTGTTGAGTTTCCAAGACTGTAACATCTTTATAGGAGTAGAAACCCCTGTCTTTCTCCTGTGGCGCGGCTGGGAGTTTGAACTGCCGACCTTTCAGTGAGCAGCCCGACCAGTCCCTACTATACCACGAGGGGTCCAGGGGACTCTGCAGGGCCCTCAAAAGTACCACACATCTCCTCTCTCTCTGCCCTTTGGACAGTGCATTGATACTCTCCTAACTTTTCCATGTAGAAAAGGACTATGCAAATATACAAGGAATAAACTCAAACTGAGCCCAAATAATAATAAATGATAGCATCATTCGAATCATTTCACAAATAAATGGCTCTCTCCTTCCTTTTGCCCAGGGTCAGGGCTATTTCTAGAAGGAATGAAAAAGAATATAGGGTGAGATCGATGGAAACCATCAAACTCGTCAATATTGTCTAACATGAGTCATTCAGGATTGCAGTCAGATCCACTTAAGAGAATGTCATCCCTCCGACCAAGACCTACGGCAGGCTTCACAGGCATGACCACAGGATGACACTGGAGCAGAGGGCAGGCCCTGCCAGCACGAGGCCTTTCTCTATGCCCTGCAGCAGGAGGGGCGGGGTGGAAGGCAAATCACCCCACTGCAAGAGGGAATGTCTGGGAGGGGAGGTCAATGAATGAAGAGCATGGCTGGAGGTGTAATTGACATCTAAATTGTCATCTGTTATTGGTTCAGGATTTTTTTTTAGGAGCAGTAAAAAATGTGTATTTTAGGTAAAATATCTTTGTTTTTCATTAGCTTTTATTCATAGATCATTTATCAGTTTAAATAGCCTGCTTTTCATCCATTATCTTCTAACAGTTACTTGAAATCCTTATCTATCTGTTATTTGACATTTTTATCTTCTCATTCCTAAGGGTGGCTCACTCGTGGGTTTGCCTCTACTGACTCTCCCAGCTCTGTGAGCAGCTCTGTGAGCAGCTCTTTGTGAGCAGGCGCTGTTCTACTGCTTCTTAGGGAGTCTAGCAGTCTTTGACCACTGGTCACGTGGACGACAGGCTACAAAGGCTCGGGGTTCTATTTAGCCAAGAGGATGGGGGTTTTTTTGTTTCCCAGGCTAGTAGTTAAATTACCAGTGATCATCTTAATCCTGTTGAGACCAACCAAGTTTTATTTAGACTTGGTTAGGATTTTAGGGTTGCTCTTATTCAATAACGTGGGCTTTCTGTGTCTCAGCCAAAAAGCTTGAGGCGGGGTGGGGGTGGGGGGTGGGGGTTTCAAAAATCGCTAGACTATAGGTGGCTGTGAGTACTTTCATCTCAAACACCTGATCCTTGCATTGTTCAAGCTCTGGAATCCCTGTCCAGCTCTCAGCCTCCCAAGAGCTACTCTCTTCCCGGACCTCCTAGAACGTCAGCCCTCGGAGTAACAATCTAAGGGTTGGTCTCGGGCTGGAGAGAAAAAGCCAGGTAAAAGTTTGGGGGTCACAGCTCATGGCTCTCCTTGCCCAATGCACTTTCCCCGTATTATTGCTGCCTTAGCGTTCCAACCGTTGATCTGTGCTCTTCTGCCAGGGCAGAAGGTCACCACCTCCCAGGACCCTCCTGTGCAGCAGCCAGATCAATGGCCTCAGGGACCAAGATGGAGGGTGTGGAAGTCAACGCCTGTCCCTCCTCTTTCTCAAAGACTGCAGTCCTGCGGGGATGGCTGTCCAATGCTGGCAAGCAATGGTTTCAACTGTTTTCCCTCAGATATTAAAGTTATTTACAGCAAGAGGGGAGGGTCAGTGCCATTTATTTCATCAGCGCAAGGACTGAAGGTCTCTATCCCTTTATTCTTTTTTTTATCAGTGCCTGGTCTTTTAAATAAGCAAACTTCATCACATGGGCATCCGTGCACATAACAAGAGAAGGACTCATTGAAACGGCCCTGACATCCTGTTTTCCACCCAACCAGTACAGCAAAAGTATACATGGGATGAAAACATTCTATTGAACAGGCTGTGTTGCCAGTGAGAATATCCTTAGATAACAATCCTGCTGAGGGGACAACAGAGAACTATCAGTCAATTCCACTTCTGGGAATTTATCATGTAGATATATTAGCATGGGTACAAAATCGTCTATGCGCCACACATTTAGTGCAACATTATTTCTAACTATAAAATATTGCAAAGATGTGCCAACAAAACTGTGTATTATATATGGGATAGAAAGTTACTCAACACAATATATTACATAAATGATGATACATTCATACATTGGAAAACGAAGCAGTTTTTTTTAAGCAAATTAAGTTTCCATGATACATTGCTGAGAGAGAAAAAAAAAATCAAAGGACAGAACACTCCAAGTAATATTTTTCTTTAAATAAAAAGAAATAATAAAGATAACAGTTAATATTTATAGTCGCCAGACCACATGCTAGGCACCATCGCAACAGCTCAAAATATACTCATTTAATCTATATCAACACCCTGTGAGTTAAGTACTACCCATTCTGCAGATGAGGAAACGAAGCTCAGAAAGGTTAAGTAACTTGCTCAAGATCACACAGCTCATGAGTGGCAAAGGGAGACAGAATCATGCAGAACGGCCCCAGCGACTACTGCACAATAAAGGTTCTTGATGCATTATAAATGCAAGGGGCCATGGGGGTGCAGTGGTGAAAGCACTTGGCGGCTAACAGAAAGGTTAGCCAGCTGCTGTGCAGTAGACTCCCGGGGCTGTCTGCGCCTGTAAAGATTACAACCTTGAAAACCTTATGGGGCACTTCTACTCAGAACACCCTGCGGGGCATGGCTGTAGGTGGGAGAGTCTAATTCTAAGCGCAAAGAAAGAAACGGTGGGAAAGTAATCAAGAAACGAAGAACCGTAGCACTATACTGTAAGTATTTTCACTGGATCATACACACAGACTATCGCACACTGTCAGCGGGTCACAGTGTGGTGACTTGCATGTTGTTATGAAACTGACAGGGCCCCAGTATTTCAAGAACCAGCAGAGTCACCCATAGTGGACAGGTTTCAGCAGAGCTCCCCGACTAAGACAGACCCTAAGTCTACTTCTGAAAAAATCTGAATAGCGGTGAAACATTGTCTGACATATGGCCCTTAGGTGGAAGGCACTCAAGAGAGCTAGCTCCTCAAAGCAGAGTTGACCTTAATGACGTCATTGGTGGGGTAAAGCTTTCAGGACCTTCCCAGGAGAAGAAACAGCTGCAAACATCCACTAGGAACTGGTTCTTGGACTACACAAAGTCTGAATCTAGGAAAACTGGAGGTTTTCAAAATTAAGTGGATGGCATAAAAATGGATATGCTAGCCACTGGTGAGCTGCGACAGTCTAGCACTGACCAGTTTGAATCAAGCATAGGTCCTACTGTCCTAGAGCTGAGGAAACTGGAGATTTTTACTAACTTCTGCCATCCAACATGCAATCAAGATGCATTGATAGTTACTGGTGATTGGAATGCAAAAGACAGAAGCAACGAATGATCAGAAATTGGAATATATGGCCTTGGTGATGGAGATGACTTTGGGGAGATGACGTTGGTAAAGATATGGCAGAAGTTTGCAAGACCGGTGGCTTATTCATGGGAAATACCTTTTTCCAACAACAAAGCAGTGACTATACACTTGGGCCTCACCTTGTGGCATACTACACAGGCATCAGACAGGCTGCATCCATGGAAGGAGAGCAGAACAAGCGGACACTGGGTGGTACGATCAGGAAAGGTGTGCGTCTGGGTGGTGGCCTTTCACCATACCTATTCTGCTGCTATGCTGAGAAACCCCTGCAAAGGTGAACTCTGTGAGGAACACAGCATCGGGACTGGAGGAAGGCTCCTTACTAACCAGAGAGATGCAGACCAAACGACATAGTGCACTGGGCAAACCTGTTGCAGAGGGCTTCCTTAAAAGGGCTAACAAGCAAAGATGTCAAAACGATGCATGATGTACGCGGACTCCAATGATAGCATTTTCAGTCCCCTCACGTGCGAGTGAAAAGTGGACAGGGAATAAGGAGGGCTGAAGAAGAACTGATGTGTCTGAATCATCATGTTGGCCAAGCATATTGGATGTGTCATTGACTGCTACAAGAACACAAAGCTGTCCAGGAAAAAATACAGCCCAACTACTCTTTGGAAGCAAGGGCGGCAAGGTTTTGTTTCAGAGACTTGGGGTGTGTTATCAGGAAGGACTAGTACTTGGAGTATGGCATTATGCTTATTAGACAGTTAAAAAAAAGAAGAAGACCCCCAACGTGATGTACCGAGAGAGTAGCAGCAACAATGGGCTCAAGCATGGTACCCATCCGTTATGAGGATGGTGCAGGGCCAGATAGGGCTTTGCTCTGCTGTACACAGGGTCCCTGTAAGTCAAAACCAAACGAGACAGCACGTAACCACAAGAGAACTCGCTCAACCTTCCACATCATGTTCTACATAGGACTGTGTTGTTATTAGTGCAATTATTTCACTATGCACAGAGCGGTGTCACGATTTCTGCTTATACAAATAAGGAGGCAATGGAAACTTAGTGCTTTCATTTCTGTAGGATAAATCCATTCCTTTAAGTAGGATTGCTGGTCAAACAGAAATACTTTCAACTTTGTTAGCTACTGACAGGTTCCTTTCGTAGAGTTCTTGTTACCAATTCCAGGATAAAATCCCTTGACTGCTGAGTCCCTTCTGATGTACACCAACCCGACAAGACAGAGGTGAACCTTCCCACCGGGACTCCCAGGCTGTAATCCTCACGGAAGCAGACTCGCACATCCTTCTCGCCTCCGTCCCGACCTCCTTCACCTGGTGACCATACCTGTACGTCTCCTCACTTCTTTTTTTAATGTTTTCCACTTTTAATTTTCACATCCATTTATTACACTGTGACAAACGAATTCAGAGTAAACTAATTTGGATTAGCTCAGAATAGCCAATCTGAGTGACTTCCTTTCACAGCAGATTTTTCGTTAGCACATGGTCAATTAAGTACTTCAACCCTGTCCTCCTTTTTTGTATACAATTTACCACCACTCAGACCGTCGGCTAAAGACCAGCTGCCATCTCACTGGACGCGAGGGACTGTCCCAGGCTCTGCATTTTCTGCGCTAGAAAATAACCAAGTGTTTCCGTTTGAAAGACTTTTCAGTGAAAGATTTTACTGAGCTCGAACCTCATCTGGAAGTCAGAGTAAAGAAATTGAATCAATGCTAGTAAGGGATTTAACTAATGAAGCTGCGGATCCTCTGGGCAGGAACTGGCGAACAAGATTCTACCACAGGAATTGAGCTTCGTCACCACCTCTGAGACTAGAGTGTCCTTAGGGAGCGTTGGACGGCATCAGTCTGAGTGCAAAGGACTGTGGATGCACAGTGAGCAGCCAGGATTCTCCAATTACACACCAACATCACATGGCTTTGGACGGTGTTCTGAGAACTACCAGGAGGGGGTCAGCACCACCTGCGATGATGGGCAATGTATTCAAATGCAGCATCGTTCACCAGTCACAGGTGCAAACCAGGCGTCCATCAATAAACGATTGGATGACTCAAAGGTGGCATACACGTGAAATGAAATAATTTTCCACCCCAAGGAGAGCTGACATTCTGACTACATTCTGACTACATGCTAAGACGTGGATAGACCTGGAAAAGATCAGTCTGAGTAAAACAAGTCGAACGTGAATAGACTACCACTGTCTGATCCCACTTTTATGAAATTTCTTGAAGAGGCAAATGCAGAGACCACCATCTATTCGTGGTAAGCGGAGGCAGGCGGGAGGCAGGAGAGCGGGGATTCTGCGTCAGGGTTGCTGGGTTTCTGCCACGGGCGATGACACTCTTGGAAACGAACAGTGAAGATGGCACACGGCACCGACACGGTGTGTGTGTGTGTGTGTGTGTGTGTGTGTGTGTCAGTGCAGCATATGCATAAGACGGCTAAACTGGCAAATGTGCTGTTACAGACAGTTAACCCAAATTAAAATCTATATATGTGCACGTCTGGTGTACATTTAAATGCACATGCACACACACAGTGCTTTACTAAGTTGGCAAGAAATTTTCACTATCTTTTCATGAGCTTTTTGGGGTTTTTGTTTGTTTTCATGAACTTTTTGAAAACTCATCGTGTGTGTACGTACACTTGTATGTTTAATGTCCTCCAAGGAGCCTTCGTGGCACAGTGGCTACCCACTGGGCAGCTACTGTAAGATGGATAGCTTGAACCTACTGGTCACTCCATGGTCGAATGATGGAACTTTCTGGAAACCCACAAGGGATGGTCCTACTCGGTCCTACGGGTCATTCTGCGTTGGAATCGACTCTGTGACAATGAGTTTGGCTTTTGGTTTAAAGACTAGCCACAATGAATGGCAGACAGAGTCTGAGACAGGTTATTTCTCATGACCTACAGACACTGAAGTAGAGACGAAAGGTACTACGCACAAGTGTGCCCCACATGGTGGGTACAGATTAATACTCAGGGGTGGGGGGCTGTTACAGCAATAGTGGCAATCACATCAAGAGATGAATGGCCACATTCGTTGCGTGTATACATACAATGAAAAATCATTCTACCATAGAGAAGCGAAGCTCTGAAAACATGCTAAGACATGCTAAGATATCGCGTCCAAAACATCACTCGTCATCAAACACGTCCACCCTCCCAGTCTGCAGAGCCATCTTGACTTGCTGCGTTCGCTCACGGAGCAGCTCGGGAAGCACCCTCGACCGCTTTTCAAAAGAAAGCATACACATCCCATGGCCAGTGAACGCACAGGCATGTCCCTCGGTTCTCGGATTTTGAGAGGTTATCTTTAGAAGTAAGCTCATGCAAATCAGTTGCACTGAATGACAAACAACTGAAAACGATGGACATCCCCCGGGACAGGAAAATCAAAGCCTTCATACTACTACACGGGGTCCTGGTGGCACAGGGGGTGATGCGTTGGGCTGCTGACTCTGCAAGGTCAGCAGCTCAAAACTACCGGTCACCCTGCAGGAGAAAGATGAGGCTTTCTAGCCCCGTAAAAATGTCCAGCTTCAGAAGCCCCCGGGGCAGCTCTGTCCCGTGCACAGTCTCCGGGGGTCGGAATGGACTGCACGGTAATGGGCGAGGGGCGAGTGAACAGGGCTAGCGTCACGGAGTGAGACGCCCCCAAGGAAAAGGCAAGAAAGCGAATGAGCAGAGGAAGAGTACTCACTGGAAACCTGACGACGGTCACATCGGTCTTGGTGGCCTCCACCAGGAAATCCATCCAGAAGTCCACGAGTTCCTGCTTGGCCACAGGCTGCTCTGTGGGCAGTTTCACAAAATGCTTATATATCAAAATGGTCTCCACAATCGACTTGAGGTACCTGCGATTTAAACATACACACACACAAAACTTACAAAGCGGCCACACCGAGAGCCACCAGGTACCGTGCACCCCAGCATTCTTCTCTAGGTGTAAGTGAAACCTGGCCTGAACAAGGGTGTGACCATCGTCACCAGGCATTTCTTCATCGTCTATTGTATGCTGTGCAGGTGGGCGCTCCCCAAAGCCTCGGACTTTAACACATCATCTCATTTAAATCTTACAAAAATCCAGTCCAGGAGGACCGCTTTATCCCTGCTTCCTAGACGTGGAAACGGAAAGGTAGAGAACAGAAGCAACTTGGCTGGGAGTCATGCAGTCTCATAGAATAAGGTGCTTAAAAGAACGTCTACATTCTATTCAAGGAAGTAGTAATGACCTTGCTTTCAAACACTCTTCCTTAAGGAATTGTTTTTTGCAAATAGACCCTTCCTAAGGAAGGAGTCTTTATTTTGCTCTGAAGCCCCTCGATTTATGTATTTTACAAATCTCCTTAAGCCTAACAAGACTAAGGGGGCCTCAAAGGCAAGAGTTGGGAAAACCAAGGGGGAATATACTAGACAGGCAGGCACTTTGTCAACTATAAGCATATATGTTAACATTCCATATGCATTAAGATAGTGGAAATGGAGAGCATTGTTTTAGTGACAGTCAGTACTATTGTGTTATTATCACAGCAAAATGCGACAATTACAAATAAACTATGCTCACTCATCACAACCTATCTTCAACACATTTCCTTTCCTTATAAACACTCACTTTCCTCTAGCATCTGCATTTAATCCTGCAAGTAAATAACCTAATTTTCAGCTCAATAAATGTAACAGGAGACCAAGCGAGAGGAGCGGTGTATGGGGACTGGCTGTAGAAAAGTGCAACAGTCCAATATTACCAGGCCGGCGTCTTCAGCTTAAAGAGCTTCTCAGATGCTTGGATGACTCTCATGTGGTCGTTGGCAAGAACACTGGCCCCCAGAAAAAAGCCAACTTCCCAGAAGCTCTGGAGTTTTTCCAAGTTTCCCTTTTTACCAAGAAGGGTACTTAGCTTCACCCCTAAAAAAACGAGCAGGGCACAGTGTTACAAGCACACCGTCAGCAGGCAGTCGGCTTCTTGCTAACGAGCAAAGTGACACTTTCTATTTCAGATGACAATAACGGTAATTTTCTAATAAAAACAGTTCAAGCTTTACACGCACGCACGCACACTCACGCATACACGCACACACATACACGCGCGCGCACACAATTTCAAAAAGCTCATGGAATTAGTCCCGCTATATTTTAATTCCATAGGAGCCCTCGTGGCATTGGGCTGTAATCTATAAGGTCAGCAGTTCAAAACTACCAGCTGCTCTGCAGAAGAAAGACCGGGTTGTCTATTCAATAACAGTTTCAGTCTTAGAAAACCACAGGGCAGTTCTTCCTGTCCTATTGCTTTGAGTTTACATTGCCATGAGCTTACATTGGGGTTGAACTCTGAGTTTGGGGTTGCTATGAGTTTACATTGACTCGATAGCTGAGAGTGAGTTTAATTCCATGTTTCTACAAATCTTTTTAAGCCTGTGTGCATGTGTGTGTGTGTATGTGTGTGAGAGAGAGAGAGAGAATTAAGCCAGTTACTTCCAGTTGATTTCCATTCCGGGAAATCTCCTGCGTGTCACAATAGAAAATGCCCAGAGGATGTTCAATGACTGATTTTTTAAAGAATCATTTTATTGGGGGCTTTTACAGCTCTTATCACAATCCATACATCCATTGTGTCAAGCACATTTGTTGCCATCATCATTTTCAAAACATTTTCTTTCTACTTGAGCCCTTGGTTTCAGCTCATTTTCCCTCCCTCCCCTCCCCTCCCCTCCCTCATGAACCCTTGATAATTTATAATTTTTTTTTCATGTCTTACACTGACAGATGTCTCCCTTCACTTTTCTGTTGTCTGTCCCCCAGGGAGAGGGTTATATGTAGATCATTGTGATTGGTTCCCCCTTTCTGCCCCACCTTCCCCTTCCCCTCCTGGTATCAATACTCTCATTATTGGTCCTGAGGGGTTTATCTGTCTTGGATTCCCTGTGTTTCCAGCTTTTATCTGTACCTGTGTACATGCTCTGGTCAAGCCAGATTTGTAAGGTAGAATTGGGGTCATGATAGGGTGTGGGGGGTGGGGGAACGCATTAAACAACTAGAGGAAAGTTGTATGTTTCATCAGTGCTATACTGCATGCTAACTGGCTTGTCTCTTCCTTGTAACCCTTCTGTAAGAGGATGTCCAGTTGTCTACAGATGGGCTTTGGGTCTCCACTCTGCACTCCCCCTCATTCACATCGATATGATTTTTTGTTCTGGGTCTTTGATGCCTGATACCTGATCCCACCGACACCTCGTGATCACACAGGCTGGTGTGCCTCTTCCATGTGGGTTTTGTTGTTAATGACTGATTGTTGTTGTTTACAACCTTTTCAAAAAATTAATCATTTTATTGGGAGCTCTTGCTGATATTTTAACATTCCATAATTCAATTAGATCAAGCATAATTGTACAATTGCTACCACCATCAGTTTGAAAACATTTTCTTTCTTCTTGAACTCTTTGATATCAGCTCCCCTTTATCCCCTCCCTTCTCCACCCTACTCCTCAGGAACCCTTATTATTTTTATTACATATTCTTCTTAGTATTATGATGATGACTGTTTTTATTTTTTATAAAGTAGCTCACCAGATATTTCTTCAAAGGCACCCCTGATCCATCAAACATTTGATTAGCAGCAGAACGCTGACACTGCCCAGGTGCATCAGGGACCTTACCTGGAGATACCTAGACCTAGAAGCAGACTTGCCTCAGGCAAAAAATGTGCCCCTTTCATGTATTGATACATTTTGTCAAATTTCCCTCAGGAAATGCTTAAGAGCTTTTGAGTATGGAGTTAAGAATGGGCTCTCACTTTTAATATTTAAGAGTTCTCTTAAGAGGAGCCCTGGTGGTGTAATGGTTATGCTTTGGGTTGTTATAGGTTATTCAAGGTCAGCAGTTCGAAACTACCAGCCGCTCCACGGGAGAAAGACGGGGCTTTCTGCTCTCATAAAGAGCTGCAGTCTTGGGAATCCACAGGGGCAGTCTGCCCTGTCCTCTCCATCAGCACTGACTCAATGATGGTGAGTTGGTTTGAGCTTTGGAAGCATTCTGATGCATCAAATTATTTCTGTAGGACAGAGGCTCAGAAGTTGCTTCACGCCTGGCTCAGGGCAAGAACCTGTTGAAGGCTTTTGATTTACAAGGCCAAATGGCTAAAACATGATCTCTGATGGACAAGTATGTCTGTCAGCAAAGGACCTGCCTCCCAAGTCCATTCAGTTTCTGGAGGTGCCAACCGATAATGAATGTGGCTATCACCACAGGGCTAGTGGGCTCAAGTCCAGCAGCGGCGTTCTGGAGATCTATTTCTAAAACATACTAACCCCTGAAAACCCTAGGAAGCAGAGTTCTCTGCTGACGCACGCGGTAGCCACAAGCTGGGGTCGGCTCAACAAAAGTGGACGGCTCACCACGGCCTTCACAGCTCTACATTTTTGTCTTTAAAATTTTTTGGCTAAATGCATTAGCAATAAATAATATGCCACTGCTGTTTGAACTACCAATTCTTTGATCAATTTTTGAATTCCTGGTGAACCCCTCAGCATTTTGACAATAGTCTAATTAGAATTGGTTGACCTCTGAAGTATCAAATACTTTTAATAGTTATTTTCAAATATAGTTTATCACTCTGCAGCCGTTCCTAGACTCGAGGCTATTTTAATGTAGAAAATGAGGGCACGGAGCTGTAACTGCACTACTGTAGGCCTACCAGTCGGCATCATGGCATACTGGACTACGTGTTGGGCTGCCAACCACAAGGTCAGGAGTTTGAATCCACCGGCTACTCTGAGGGAGAAAGATGAGGCATTGGCTTTTTAATCACAGTGCATGACATCGTGGAAATGTTCACTCTCCCAACTCATGCAACACAATGAGTTAGAGATGATGCCCCTTTGTAGTGAGAAGAACAAAGCTCAGTGCAGTTATACAATGTCAAATGGCTTCTGCTTGTCCGTGATGGACATGAGATAGCTTCTTTTAAGTTTCCACGACAACAAATTTCAAACATATACAAACAGAAACTATACCATGCATACAAATCGATACCATACTTGGACATTCAACAATTGTTAATAAGGGCCATTTTCCTATTGCTTCATCTTCCTGAATACGTTTTGCCTAACCATTTTAAGTTACAGGCACATGGCAATTCACCCCAAAGCCCTGCAACATAGATTCTCCTATGTACCCTAGTCTATCATTGTTATCAGCTGCTGGCATTGTTCCCCAACTCACAGGGACCCTATGTATTACAAAACAAAATGCTGGCTAGTCCTGTGTCTTCTCCACGATCCGTGGTGGGTTAGGCTGCTGTGGTCTTCCTAGTCCGTGTTAGTCTGCAAGTTCTGTTGACATGTGGTCGGTGCCATAGCAACCAGAAAGCCACCACGGACTGTGGTGGCTGTGTACAAAGTGCACCGGCCCAGCTCGCCCACAAAGAAGGCAAGAACTATACCACGGGGCCACCAATGCCTCGTGCGATTAGACGACTATACAAATGGCTCCTTCATAGCGAATATCCTGTCCGGATGCAAACTTCCTAACTGTTCCCAAAACTCTGAGTCAAGGATCAGTCATTGCATTTGTATTTTATTGTCTCTAAATCTCTTTTAACTGACCCAAACCACGCACCCTTTCTTCTGGACACTGATTTTCCTGTGTCTTCCAGAGTGGCCTCACTCCCTGGATTTCTCTGACGACTTCCTCATAGGGCTGTTGAACTGATTTCTCTATACACTGGGATTCCTACTGGTTGGACATTCGCTCTAAATAGTGGACCAGATTCTGGTAAAACGCTTTGGGTGATGCCATTAGCAGCGGTTCTCAACCTGTGGGTCGCGACCCCTTTGGGGATCGAACGACCCTTTCACAGGGGTTGCCCGATTCTTAACAGTATCAAAATGACAGTTATGAAGTAGCAACGAAAATAATTTTATGGTTGGGGGGTCACCACCACATGAGGAACTGTGTTGAAGGGTCCAGGCATTAGGAAGGTTGAGAACCGCTGCCCTAGAGGCTGTGCATTTCATACTCATTGTGTCATGAGGCAGTGTCTGGCCACCCCACTGTCAATGACACTGAGCACATCACTGACATCAGTGGCCTCCCGTGGGAAGGGATATTTGTCCCTTAGTGACGAGCAAGCGATCTGGGAGTAGCACGGTGGTACCCTGTAAATATGCAGTGTTTGCTTGTCTTGTTTTATTATTTTTTAAATGTTTTTTAACTTAATGATTTTGGCTTCAATCGATGGTGGTTGCCAAAATACATAATCTCCACACTGCTATCAGTATCAACTTCATTACTCCTCCCATTTCATTAACTAGCCTTCTTTTGAAGAATGCATCCCTTGGAAAAAAACAAAAAACAAAAAGCCACATATGAAAGGCAGCAGATTCTGAACAAACGTCTGGACAAGGCGTGGACCGTGAAGCTCTGGACTTAGCCAAAAGGCTGCCAGCTTGCGGTCACCCAGACACACCTCGGCAGGTAGTTCTGGGGCGCTGCATCCCAACACATCACAGGCTGGATAGCCCCACAGAGCAGCCCCTCTGCACACGTGGGGCTGCCCCCGATCCGACTCCATGGCAACCAACAAGATAGACAACGGACGGCAGCACGAGCTTCACCTCACTGACGCTGCGGGGAACGAGGCTTCTCCTGACCAGGACACGTTTTCCAGTTTAGAAGCTCGGAAAGGAAAGCATCCTGTTTACCTTTCATACCGCTTGCTTTAAGTTGGGCTGGGGGTGGCGGGGACACTTAGCAACTGGTGAAATACGTGGACCACTGAATTTCATCCTCCTATCAGTTTTCTGCCCCAGAGTGTGAAATACTATGAAAATATAATTTAAAAATAAAAAGAAGAAGAAGAAAATATGATAACCCCTTCCCCTTCTCTCCCCCAGCAGGAAGTCTGAGCCGGTCCTTTCTTCTCGGCACCCAATTGGGTTCCGTGTCTGGGTTTCCATGTGAAACAACAAGCCCCAATTACCAACTTTCCGGAGCTCAAAGGAAGATTCAAACTGGTGCCCGGCTGCCAGGAGGAGTACCGCGTAATTGATTCCTGACTGTAGTGTTGGCTCGGATTCAAATGCCTTTTTGAACCTATGAAAAAACAAACGCACAAGTTCACTTTCTCAATCACGAAACCCTGGGTGTGTAATAGCTTCTGTTTACATAACTCCAGTGCCTGAGTAAGTAAAAATATTCCACTGGCCTTCACCCCAGATTCTGGTGTGCTATTTGACTTAGGATTTAATGCATAAGGAACTGCCTATCCTTCCCCCAGCTCCACTGCATTCTCCCACTGAATTCACCCTTGCCCAGCGAGTGCCAGCCTTTTAAAAGTCCTCTCACCATGCTACCAAAAATCTATGAATGCATGTATGCGTGTATGTAGGCAGTGGATAATTTTTTTTTAATGAGAACCTTGCACATATTAAAAAGAAGTTCACTTCTTGGTGCTCTTTTTTAAATTCTTAAAATATACAAAACATTGAGGATGATCATCTGAAAAACATATCAAAAGAATAATTCTATAAGACTAGTGGCATTCTCTTACCAGAACAGAGAGAGGTGATTAGAAAAATCCCAAATATCTGAATATTTGGCGACTCACTTCTGAATAGCCCAGGGGCAGAGAAGAAATCACACTGAAAACCAGAAGGCATCTGAATTGAACCACAAGAAAAGGCTCATTGTGGTAAAATTTGTGGGATGCAAAATACGTATGCCTTTAAATGTGTATTTTGGAAATGCAGCATGGTTGCTAGATCAATGCCCTAAGCTTCCCTTCAGAGCAAGCATAACATACTAGCCCCAAAGGAGACACAAGGAAACAATAGCTATGAAAAAGAACCGAACAGAAATCAATGAATGAGAAAGCAGATGCACAGTTGAGAAAATCAATAGTGTCAAAGGTTTGTTCTTTGAAAAGATTAATACAACCGATAAAGGACGAGTGCTCATCAGGAAAAGAAAGTGGGAGAGAGAGAGGGGAGAGTGGGGACAGAGGAGAGGTCCGGCCGACAGCATTAGAGCCCAAGATCCACACTTAAGAATGAAGAGAACGACGACCCTTCCTTACCAACAGCCAGGAGGGGAGAAGGGATCTGCACAGAAGCTCACAGAAGACGCAAAAAAAACCCATCCACTTTCTTTCTTTTTTTTGAGGGCTCGTACAACTCTTATCACAATCCATCCATCCATCCATTGTGTCAAGCACATTGTACATTTGTTGCCATCATCATTCTCAAAACATTTTTTTCCTATTTGAGCCCTTGCTACCAGCTCATTTTTCCCCTCCCTCCCCACCTCCTCTCCCTCCCAAACCCTTGGTAATTCATACATTATTATTTTGTCATGTCTTACACTGTCCAACGTCTCCCTCCACCCACTTTTCTGTTGTCCGTCCCCCAGGGAGGGGGTTATATGTAGATGTACATCATTGTGATCAGTGCCCCCTTTGGCCCCCACCTTCCCCTTACCCTCCTGGTATTGCTGCTACCTCAGTATTGGTCCGGAGGGGTTTATCTGTCCTGGATTCCCAGCTCTTACCTGTACCAGTGTACATGCTCTGGTCTAGCTGGATTTGTTCAGTAGAATTGGGATCATGATAGTGGAGGGAGGAAACATTAAAAAACTAGAGGAAAGTTGTATGTTCCATCAGTGCTATACTACACCCTGACACTTGTCTCCTCCCCGCAACCCTTCTGTAAGGGATGTCCAGTTGCCTACTGATGGGCTTTGGGTCTCCACTCTGCAATGGTATTATTTTTCGTTCTTTGATGCCTGATACCTGATCCTCTCGACAACTCCTGATCACACAGGCTGGTGTGCTTCTTCCATGTGGGCTTTGTTTCTTCTCAGCTAGATGGCCACTTGTTTATCTTTAAGACTTTAAGGCACCAGACACTATATTTTTTGATAGCCGGCCACTATCAACTTTCTTCACCACATTTGCTTATGCACCCACTTTGTCTTCAGCGATCATGTTGGGAAGGTGAGCATCATGGAATGCCAGTTTATAGGACAAAGTATTCTTGCATTGAGGGAGTACTTGAGTAGAGGCCCAATGTCCATCTGCTACCTTAATACTAAACTTATAAATATATGCACATAGGATAGGTCTATTTCCCCATTGTCATATATAAATATATTTACATATGTACATGCCTGTATTTAGACCTCTATAAATGCCCTTTGCCTCCTAGTTCTTTCCCATCCACTTTCTTCAGTGTTCTGAAGCCTGATCTTGATCAAAGTATAGGATCAGAATGCTACATCCTTGGACCACACTGGTGAATTGCATAGCGCCTTCAATGTGCTGCATCTTAATATTATTGGAATCCATTACTTTATCATAACAAACTGAGGAATAGATTTATAAGTCCCTGGTACCTACACGGCGGCTTCCATGAGCATGTCCTTTCACTTACTGCTAGGGAGAACCGAGCTTCCTCTCCATCCGTGAGTACCATTTAGTAACAGCAACAACGATGGGCCTAATCCTTGTCATCATTTCTCTTGTCTCGGTCCAGGCTCCAAATTTCCTTCTCTGTTTTCTTTTAAGGAGCCTTGGTGGCATAGTGGTTATGCACTGGGTGGTTAACCACAAAGTCAGTAGTGTTCGACACTACCAGCCAGCCCCTCCTCAGGAGACAGATGAGGCGTTCTACTCCCTACTCCAGTAAAGGGTGAGCATCTCTGAAACCCACAAGGGCCGTCAGAATAGAGGTGATAGGCATGCGAACTCAATGAGGTACTTTCTTTCAGATTCAAACTACATAAAAGTACCAGCACCTCTCAAGGCGAAAATCATGAAATGGAATATTCTTGATCCATTTTCACAAAAGATGATGTACCGGGTTGAGTTGTGCTGCCACCTCAAGCAACTGAAAAACCCCAGTGTCGGGAGCCCTGCTCCTGCTCCAGCTCCTGGCACCGTGCTGGGTCAGTGGCCCTGTGTTCTGTCCACTCTGAACGAGTGGCCCTCCCTGGGAAACAGCACCCTTTCCAAAGGCGCCGAGCTTTTGGTCAGGTTGCACAGCAACCAAGACGTGGCCGAGCCAGTGTTATGTGGTGGGGCTCGTTTCCTCGAGGGGGGAAAACGGATCCCTGGCAGTGCAATAGTTAAACGCTCAACCCCGACGTGAAAGGCTGTTTGGAAGAAAGACTGGGTGAGCTCCTGTGAAACTGACAGTCACTTTGGGGTCACCCTCTTGAAGTTGTGTTACATGTTTCTCGGTATATGAACCCCTATCGAAGATCCTATAGGGACGGCAACTAGAATGAGGGGTTTGGGGGGCAGGGGGGGCAGGGGGGACAGGGGAGTGGAGAGGAGGTAAAAGGGAGATGATATCAAGGAGTCCAGGAAGGAAAAGAGTGTTTGGAAACGGATGTGGTAGCAATTGTAAAATACTGTTGGATGTGATTGAACTATGGAATGATATATGCATTAACATCCAATTAATAATAATTATTTAAAATTAATTACATAATTTTTGAGAACTGATAGTCAGAAATACCCTGAGGATACTCTATGATGTCACAGGAAGTTCCCCTGAGTTCAAATTGACTGAAGCCAAAGTGCTGACCCAACAGCACTAACAAGACCAGGTCAGGGGGAGCAGCTATTAGAATCCATCAGCTGCTAGAAGGGAGAGCAGACCAGGCCATCTGCTTGTGTATACATTACAGTGTAGGAAAGCCTGAAGGAGCAGTTCGAATCGGTCCTGTAGGTCTGCTACCAGTCTACATGGCCTTGGAGCAAATACCAACCAACCCAAATGGGGAGGCACTTTAAGCATGCAGTGCTTGCTATATGACAAGTGGGTGGCTTCAATGAACCAAAACTTTTCTCTCGGTCTGGCGTGGTGGTTAGCCACCGCTGACTCGGTCCTGATTCCTAGCACCCCCCAGGCTAAGAGAAGGACGCACCGCCTAGTCCTGCACTGACCTCGCCATCGCCGTTACACTGGGGCCACTGTTGCAGCCGCTGGGCTCGCTCCTGTCATTGAGGGGCTCTCTCTTTGTCGCTGACCCTCCTTCACCAGGCACGACGTCCTTCCCAGGGTTTGTTCCTCCCGATACCATGGCCCAGGTACGCGAGACGAAGTCTGACCTCTTCATTTCTAAACAACGTTCTGGCTACGCTTCTTCCAAGCCAGATTTCTTCATTCTTCTGGCAGTCAGTGATGTATTCAATATTCAATACAACAATATCATCCAAATGTATCAATTCTTCTTCTTCTGTCTTCCTTAATTACTTTCCAGCTTTACAACAGAAAACACCAGGACTTGGCTCGGGGAAACCTGGGTTCACAAAATGACGTCTTTACTCTTTACCACTTTAAAGATGTCTTTTGAAGCAGATCTGCCCAATGCAATACATCGTTTGATTTTTTAACTGCTGCATTTTTGAGTGCTGGTTGTGTTTCCGAGTAAAATAAAAATTTGAAAACTTTGAACTGTTTCCCATTTACCATTACGTTTGTTGTCTTTGGTCCAGTTGTGGATTTTTATTTTCTTTACATCGAGGCATGGGCCATATGACATGTCTTTGAATTATGATACTGATGAAGGATACTGAATGTACCATGGACGGCTAAGTAAATACTAATCTGAGAAAGATATCACGTTTGGTCACAACAGATTATTCGGTGCCTAAAAAACAACTAGGTGTGAGGCCTCCGGCATAATATTTAGGAGTCTTACAGCTCTTTAAGTTAAATGGAATCATCTCTAGTGTACCAGGAAGGTGGAGCACAGAAATTTAAGGCACATCGCTTAGAAGTGGATAAGCTGCAACATTACCTGGTTCTGACAGATTCCAAAGCTTGAATCCTTTTCTCTGCATCGTTGCTATTTACTCTGTGTTATGTGTGTTGTCTTTCAGTTGTTTGTTTGTTTTTTCCCCCATTTCCTATCTTTTTCTCTTTCTTTTTTAGTAAAAGGAAATTGGGAGACAGGAAAAATCAAAATGAGCAGAAAAAGCAGAGAAAAACCGTGTAAGGGATAAAGTTTACATAAAATAGAATGGGACTTTTCATAAACTATATTTGATCAGTCTCAGTAGACTGAATGTTGATATTTCAAACAGCAGT